ACAGCAGAATTAAGGAGCAAGTACATAGATTTCCTAGATATCTCCCATCTCTACATAAGCATAACTTCCTAAATTATCAACATCCCTCACTAGAGTAAGATTCCATGAACTCAAATTGATACATCAAAATTATCCATACTCTCACTTATTTATTCTTGCCACTGGATCTCCACAGGCATAACGACAGTATTTGTCACTGCAATATCACAAGGTATTGGTACTTTGCTGTACCTATCAATATGTTTCTGTAGCTAACCTCTGTTAAAAGCTAATACTGTCTTCTCTCCAGTTTTATTCATTTTCAAAACGTAGTACATTTAGAATCATATGGCTAACTATGTTGGCAGATTAAAATATTGTGCTTTTTTTAATATGGAAAAAAAGATCGGGGCCTGTTGCTGTGAAAAACAACACAAAAACAAACAAACAAAAACAATGACCATATGATTCTAAAGCCTTTGGAGTTGGTTTGTGGGAGGAATGAGGAAGGAGTAGAACTTTGAGCTAGGACAATCCTTCTATTTTAGGCAGAACTTAAAACCGGGAATCCTTAGGAAGACAATGAAGTCTCACCCATGGCATTTCAGAGGGTAGTAATCACTATGCCATAACTGGTTCAGGGCTGTTCACGTGATGTTCTAGCAAAGAGTGTGGTTACATTCTGCCCATGTCATGAGAATGTGAATGGTTTGAGGTCCCAGATTATACAGTGATCTGTTACGTAAAGGGAAGTTAAGGACAAGGTCATTTTCAGATGGTGTCATGGTCACTGCCCAACTGCCCTCACCTAGCTCTGCTGTAAGAGAGGAAAGCCTGCGGAGGAGAGCAGGAAGTCAAAAAGCTGTGGCTAGGAAAGGAAGAACGTGAAAGTTTCAGGCAAGGAGAGTATAGACCACAAAGTGTGTAACTGTTTAAGGGCTTAGTACTGTTATGGGAGGCTCTTTGAAAGACTAGATAACATGGAGAAAAGGAGCAGAACACAAGTATTTATCTCTCTCTGCTGTAGATAAAAAAAATTATAAGATGAGTCATATTCCCGTTTCTGGGACTTCCACGTTCAATCATAACCATTTTTGCCTTTCCAGTCCCCAGAAGTATGTATGATGAATACCACTTTCCAGCTGGAGTCAACAGGTCTATCTATGCCTGTTTTCAAAGTATTGTAAATGGCTAAGCTACTAGATAATTACTATATAGGGAAAAATTCACTTTTAAGCACTAAAAATAGGACATCGAAAGGTACCAAAGATGGAAGACAGCTATTGGGGAACAAAACGCAGGAGTGTCCATCAAGAAAGACAAGTGGGATGTTGACTCAAGAGACCATGAAGCAAAACCCAGTTCAATATGAAGAAGAAAAAACAAAGAGACCTATTGATATGATCAATCACCTTCTCAGGGCAGGATGGTCAGACAAGTCCAGCTAATGAACAGTGAACAACAATTAACCATAAACAAAGGCTGAAAACTATCCACACAAAGAAATCTAGGAGACAGTAGCCATTGACAACTTTATGGAGGCAGAAGCAATAATCATTTTAAACAGTCAGAAAAACTACTAGTAAGTTAAGACTGAAGAGTTGGAGTTCAGAAATATAAACAACAAAGACTGAGGGCAATGTGTTATTGTTTATGAAGGGAAGGCATTTGTGCGCATTATGTACTTCTCACGGTTGAACTCAGTTAGTAAATTTAAAATCACAGCACTTAAATGAAGCTTCTGAGTTTGTCTCTGGAAGCAAGTCCCTTTGTCTGGGAGTAAGGGTTCATGCCGGTCTCATGTGTGTTCAACCTTTTGGCATTGCAACAACTTACAAAGCTTATCCTTGAGAACCCTGCAATTGAGACACAAACAAAAAAATAATAACAAAAAAAATCACAAATAACATCATGTACTAGTACCTAGTACCATTTTGCATTCTGAGGTTCAGCCTGCACATAGGCAACAGAATGTACATGGCTGCAACTCATCTCAGCATTCAGGAGGGTGAGGCAGAAGGGCAGACAGGAGTTTCAGTACAGTCAGTGAGTGTTGAAAGTTATGTTACAGGCCAGCCTAGATTGCAGTGTAAGATCTCTCTCTCTCGTGTGTGTGTGTGTGTGTGTGTGTGTGTGTGTGTGTGTGTGTGAAACAGTCAATTTGAGCACTTATTTCTATCTTATGGTCTTCATAACAACTTAGTTGCTTGTAAAGACAAAGGCAAAACCTTTAATCTTCTCAGGTGGTCTATACTACCAAAACACATGAAAATATCATTAATCTACTAAATCTCTAATCACTACTACAACCCAAATTTTTCAACCAAGTTAATCATCTCAGTAGTACAGAAAAGTAGGTAAGCCATAAAAGACTTTTAGTTTCTGTACTCAAGCTTCTGTCCCTAGAAAACATGGCATTCTATCCCCTCCCCCCTTTCTCATTTCTCTGATCTTTAGCACATAGTTATTTCAAAATACCACACAGTGAATTAGATCACTGTCTGACTTAATCTGGGTGCCCTGGGCTAGGTGCTACCAGAGCAGTTAGCCGTGTAATTATTACAATGTCAGTCTAGGGTTAATCCATCATATAGGTCTTAATCTATGAGCTAAGACAATTTCAACTGAAAAGTACTTAATCTTTTTTAAATGAGGAGAATATTTACATCAATGAAGTTCCTAACACAGCCCAATGCTTAGGGGGAGGGATAGCATTACATATAAAGTCAGCTGTATCTATACATACTTGAGAAACATTCAGTTTCTCATGTGCCCCTTCAAAAGCAAATGTTCAGCAACTTTCATCCAGAGATTCCAGATAATATATCACATTGGTATTTGGAAATTTAATTTTGATTGATAACATATGCCCTTACATCCCTTAAGTACAAGCTGGTCATTTTCCAACTAATGCTAACATTCCTTTTTAATTTTGAAATTATGTCTATTATTCAATTTTCCCAGATTGACAATTCAAGATTAAAACTCTTTCCAGATGAAATTTCAAGTCATCACTTGAGTATTTCCACACATAATATGTTTCTATTCCCCTGTCTATCACAAATCTGTTAAAACTGATAAATCTGGTGAAGAAAACACTGATATTTATTTCCATGTCAGGATAATGAAGGAGCAGTGTGCTCTTAACGGGTAAAGACATTAAGAAATAAATGGAAATATAATATTTTAAGTTATTACTTAGTTCAAAATATTCAATATGACAAAATAACTCACATTTGTTATCCACTCTTAGTTTTTAGAGGATGGCTTACTTTAATGTCATTCATTTTTCCTTCCCTGCCATGCATGCATTTTGCTTCAAAAGTCTCTATAAACTCAGTTTTTAGACCATTATAATTTCAAAATGTGGTGAGTGATCCTAAAAGAGTGTCTCCAATCTTTGAATTTAATGTACAGAGAATCAGATAGAAACATAATTTTAAGGGTTTAATTATTGTAACAGGTGTGGTGTCATATCCTTGTAAACCCTCTACTCTTGAGGTAGAAGCAGGGAGGTCAGGAATTCCAGGCCATTCTTGGCAACCATAGCAAGTTCCAGGAAAATATATACTGCACAAGACTATCTCAAAAACAACAGGAAAGGAAGGAAGGAAGGAAGGAAGGAAGGAAGGAAGGAAGGAAGGAAGGGAGGAAGAGGAATAGAGGAGATGTTATGTCAATATCTGTGTTATGGTGACAGGAAATTAAACTACAATTTGAAGGGTTTAGCATGTACCTCATTCAATAGCGTGTTCTCCTGGGGTAACCAACCAAGTCCTAGGGTTGATCCCCAGCATTGCATAAACCAGGTCAGATAGTAGATACCTGTAATCCTAGTGTTTGAAGGACAGAAGCAGGGGGATTAGGAATTCAAGGTCATCCTTTTGACTACATTGCAAGTTCAAGGATAACCTGGGCTACCTGAAGGGGAAAAATAGCTTGAGGCTTGGAAAGGCAAGGCAGAGAGAAAAGATGACCTCCAAAGGGAAGTTTCTAAGGGAGCTGTCCCCAGTCCATGTGGACACTGATGCCACTAACATCTCTACTGTCAGTTTGTAAAGAAGGCTCCAATTGCCATTCATTTAGGGACTGCTAAGAATATTTGCATAACACATGGCCTCATATGTAAGAAAAGTTAATTTTAGTTAACGTCTAATATAATGTGCTTCAATGAAGATGCTACCAGCAATTTTCAGGGACCTGGGACTTTCTTGTACAATGTCCAGAACTCCACTTTCTTCATACTAGAAGTCAGAGCAGGAAGTAGCAGGCTAGAAAATAGGGTCTCAGCTTTAGTAGCTACAGCCCGTCTCGTTTATGCACTGTGTGGTTCCTCTTCATAAAGCCATCTGGCCTCTTCTTTTGTGTGTGTGTACTCTTCATTATAAATCAGTGTTACCAGGAAAACAAATGCCATCAGGTAGCTTCCCTGGCTTAAAAGGAAACCATATACATTTAGTGCCCACAGGGAAGGCAACCTGCTTTGTGCCTCGAAGCTTTTGGCTTTTGGCATGCTCTCCTGGCTGACCTCACTGTAGGAGAGCTCACTTTGAAGTTGTAGACAAATTGAATCAACCCTCCTGACCACATGTGTCCCAAAGAATGTGGTTTCTCAGGTATGAACAACCTCAATCCTCTATTCTCCTTTAATTCGGACTTGGAGAATCCACAGAAAGGGGCTTGCTGGAGCCTCCTTACAGCAGCTAAGGGTCAGGATTGCCTGTGCCAGCAGGAGCGGTGGCCCTTTTGCTGGGAGACACTGGCTCTGACCTTGCTGATTGTGCAAACACTCATAATTATGCCTCTGGGTAAACATACTGCTGTCTGCTTGGAAAAAAAAATGAGAAGTACAAAGAATGTTTATTTGCAAGTCCAGCCTTCCCAAGTATCCAGAGTTGATTTAGACACACCTGAGCTCCCATCCCCCTGTTATTGGCTAAGAAAGTTGCCCCACCTGATTTACAAGTTTACTGTTGGAGCTTGGGGGGGGGGGGGGTAGCGAGCAGGGGGAAGTGTCTCACCAGCCAGCACTGGATTTGATCTAGCTAGAAGGAGCAAAGCCTTGTTATTGAAAAATCACTGGCTCTGAGCTCATTTCTACATGACGACTGTTCCCTCCCAAGGCACACAGATTTTTGCTCGGGAGTAGCCCTACCTCCCTGTTCAGCATTCCAGCTGGATAAAACTCGGGAAGACCATGGCAACCTACGTTCTTCAAATGGCTGGCCTGGTGCTTGGCGGTGTTGGCATGGTGGGCACAGTGGCAGTGACCATCATGCCTCAGTGGAGAGTGTCTGCCTTCATTGAAAGTAACATTGTGGTGTTTGAGAACCTGTGGGAAGGCCTATGGATGAACTGCATGAGGCACGCCAACATCAGAATGCAGTGCAAGGTCTACGACTCCCTGCTGGCTCTTACTCCGGACCTCCAGGCATCCAGAGGACTGATGTGTGCTGCCTCTGTCCTGTCCTTCCTGGCTTTCATGACAGCCATCCTTGGAATGAAGTGTACCAGGTGCACCGGGGACGATGAGAATGTGAAGAGCCGCATCCTGCTGACGGCCGGAATCATCTTCATCATCACTGGCTTGGTGGTGCTCATCCCTGTCAGCTGGGTTGCCAACTCCATCATCAGAGACTTCTACAACCCGCTAGTGGATGTGGCCCAAAAGCGTGAGCTTGGAGAAGCCCTCTACATAGGCTGGACCACAGCGCTGGTACTGATTGCGGGAGGAGCGCTTTTCTCTTGTGTGTTTTGTTGCACGGAGAAGAGGAGCAGTTACAGATACTCGGTACCATCCCATCGCACCACTCAAAGGAGCTTCCACGCGGAAAAGAGATCCCCGAGCATATACTCCAAAAGTCAGTATGTGTAGTTTTGTGTGTGTGTGTGTGTGTGTGTGTGTGTGTGTGTGTGTGTGTGTTAGTGTTAACTCTACCTGTAAAGCCAAGCAAATCACTGAACCAGCCACTATTTTCGAGAAATGGGACCCACGGCGTATCCGTTTACCTTTCTTAACTGCCTAACTCTCATTACAGGAAATATGCACCGTCTATGATTCTATAAATGATTGTAGCAGAATGAGGTATTGTGCACACTGCTTCAATTGTTCTAGAGAGCATAGTCATTTGTTTTGTAAAATGGTTCACACAGCTTTTCCTTTTATCAGTTCCTCTAAAACGGCACACCTAAAGGCTGTTGGTTTAAGCTGTGATTTCTCTGTGTCATGGCATTATACAAGTAGATGAGGGTGGCAGTTATATCTCATCCAAGTAGAAACAGGCTTATGTGGTTCTATTTAAAGTGAAATGCCAATCCATCACACTGAATAAATATAAATCAGCTATTGCTTTTCAAGGGGGGACTAGGGATAAAAGGGAAGGAGGCTAATATTAATTGCCTAAAAACAGCTTAAGGATTAGTGTACTCTATTTGTAGTGAAGGTTAAAATGGAGGCTTTAATCATTAGTATAAAGGAAACTAAGTGGCTTTCTGATACCCTGCTTTGCAGCTGGTAGCAGTTAGGATCTCCATCACTTCCACCCATTTGCTCCAGAGGCTATCTTTCTAATTTTTTTTTTTTTTTTTTTTGTTGTTTTGTTTTGCTTTGTTTTCAGTTGGTTGGTTATTAAATTATAATCTTTAAAATTTAGAACGGATATTTTGTCTAAATATTTTTCCTCAAGCTACTTTTCCAAGGCTGTGCTAAGAGACAAAGCAATGGTTAGGAAAATTAAATCATTTTAACCTTTAAGATTAAGAGAAGACTGTACTGCTTTTCAAATGAAGTCACATACATGAGAGACTGTTCAAGCCCTATTTGTGCATAGTTTTTGGAAATGTGTCAGTATAAATGAAGGAGGAAGATGATATGTTTTGGTTATTATTTTCTGCCCCAAAGAATTCCTCCAGCTCCAAATCGTGTCCTTTCTGAACTCAGAAACTACATCGAAGTCATCAGTTTTGTTAAAGGTGATTTTTTTTCCCCTCTTGCTGTGTCTCTGCTGAGCTTTACTGAAGTGTGATGTTACTGTGTGCCTCCTCCTAAGTAGCAATGACTGTTCATTCCATTTCAAATTTCATGTATATGACTGTTAATAACATGACTGTATTTGCTTTGTGTGTTTTATATTGATAAATCACACCCTTTTTGTAACAATATAGCAATCTTACACTTGCATTCTTTTTTTACTTTTTTGAACAAGTTTTTAAAACTTGACTTTCTGAATTTTGAACACAGGTTCTGTGTTCATTTCTGAGTGCAGTGAATGATTTAAAATCGATTTACTTTATAATGATTACACACATGCATTTATATTTGATGAATATAGTATATTGATAATATGTTACATTGTACTTAGGTTCAAGGGAATATATTTGTTGTAAATATTGTTTATGTAATCATCATGTTTAAAAAGTTGTCCATGTGGATTTCAAATTCTGAGAATTAATACGAATTTAAAATGGTGTTGAATGATTTGGGAGTATATATCATTTTTTAGGTGAAGTATATTATTAAACCATTGTAATGCTAATACTGTAGTTGTTTCAATTCACAAATGAGAAAACCTCAAGACAGTTCATTGATTGCCAATGACACTAGAAAAAACATGAGGTGGCCACACTGCAAAGTCTTCGATGAAAGCTCATCATGTTTCAGTAGATTTAGTTCATAAACCAATCTTTGTATGTGGTATTAAGTGTTCAGGTACTATGAGTTGGAAAAGCTTTAGTTATTGTTCCCATCTGGGTGATATCACTATACTAAGTGCTTATCTTCCCTGGGCCATTTGCCCCTTTGGGTTAAGACATTTCCTAGGAGCCGGAATAAATCAGAACCAACCAAATGATTTAGAGAAGAAATCTAGGGAAGCCATTTTGGATATGCCAGTCTAAAAAACAACAATCATTTATTTGCCCTAACTGTCACAGACTCCATTCATTTTTTTCTTTCCTCCTCTGCAAAAAGACAAACAAGCAAACAAAACCCCAAAACAACAACAACAACAACAAAAACCCAGAAAAACCAGAATCTATGAAATGGGGATGACTTCTTTGGTGATTCTAAAATCACTCCTCACTTTCTACCTTTACTATAATCCCATCTCTCCTCTTAAAAATGTCTTGTATTCTAATGCCACTGTATCAATAATATTTTTCAGCCAACTAGCTTCCACATCCTTGTTTGTTATAAAAAATATCAAGGACAGCAAGAAGAGTCATCAGGGAAAGGTTCTCAATATCCATGTCTGGAGCCTTGAGTTTCATTCCCAGAATCCTTGACATACATGGTGGGGTATGTGTATCCTCCACACACAGAAACATTAGCAGACATTAGCAGTAAATATTCTTAAAATATACAAACTTAAGAATTAAATATCAAACTATTTCCATCTTTCTCTGCCCCTCCCCACCTTTGAAGGAGGTGTCAAGTTTCCTGAAATGTGAAGTCCATAATGCCTTGCATACAGTGAGGGAGTAGCAGGAAGAAACACAAACATTTCAAGATCTGGAAAGTGGATTCCATCAGAGAGTGAAACAGTGTGCAACCAGTAAAACAACTAGGTGACTGACGCCCAAATACTAGAAAACTCACAAAGGCCTCCTTTATCTTTTCCAAAGACATATACTGAGCTTGGAAAATACTTCTGTTGGTAGCAGAACATGTGCAAATATGAGTTTTTCAATATTGTTTTAAAGGAAAAATGATATTGTCATGAAACAAAGAATACAGGGTGTAAGGAGCTATTTATTTATTTATCTGAGTTAGATTCTCATGTATACCAGTCTGGCCTCAAACTCGTTATGCAACCCAAGATGACCCTGAATTCGAAGCCTCCAGCCTTCACCGCACAAGTGTTGAGATTACTGGTATATACCATAATACCTGCTCTATATGGTACTGGGAACTGAACTCAATGATTTGTGTATGCCAGATAAGCACTGTAATTTCTAAGAGTTATATCCCAAACTGAGAATGTGGTTTCAGTCCTGTACTTTGTAGATAGTTGTTATTATGAATTCAAACAAATCTATTTTTTTTCTAACGATTAGGTAGGGTTAGCAGCATACCAAGCTTAAGATTTCTGTAGGCTAAGGAAATTAGAAACATTGAGCATGCTGTATAAAAAATGAAAACATATACTGCACAAAGAAAATGAACTTTCTCATCTCCCAGCCACCTCCAAACCAACATTGCATGTAAGCAAGCCCTTTAGCTCCTGTTAGCACCACCTTCTATCCACCTTAAGACAATAGGGTTGTGACAGAAAACAAACTCCCAAACACAACACCTAGTCAAATGCAATGCTAGAGCTAGCAGCATTGGGTTGCTTCTTTGCTTACAACATGTTCTATGCAAAATATACACATTGAATAATGAAACCAAAATGTCAAATGAAGGTTGGGTATGTGGTGGCACACACCTCAGAGGCTGGTATATGTGAATTCAAGGCCAGCCTAGTCTATATAGTGGGTTCCAAAACAGTCAGGGCTATATAGAGGGGTCTTGTCCTAAAATAGCTACAAAAACAAAAAACAAAGAAAACTGTGAAATGAAACATGGAAACCACAATTTTATAATCAAGTGTTCACTATGAATATATTCAGTGAATTATTTCATGACTAAATAATCCCAACAAATATATCTTACATTGAGTTTTTAAAAGGAGATAAATGTACTTTTATAATTAAGACTATGAAAGCATTTACTTATGTATTTTTGTTTAAAACATGTAGACGACTGCTTTAGCATATAAGCAAAACATGCTACATTTACTTTTATATCCACAATCTCTCATTGATACCATTGTTTATGGCACAGCAATTTCTAGGTATTTTAACAATGTCCTGTTTCAGAATCCTTCATCCTTCAATGGATTTCTAAGAATTCCTTTCAATAAGATTACTCAATATTTACCTCACTGATTGCTCAAAATAGCAGTAAATATAGGCATGTCTAAATTTTCAACCCAAGTATTTCTTATTGTTTTTCCTACTCTAGAGCACCACCTACATACCCAAAATAAAGTTCCTTCTGCTGAAGGAGCAATTTCTGGTTTGCTGGAAAAAGAGTTAATAATGGAACTAACGAGATAGCACAGATAGTAAAGTGTGCATAAGAGTGATGACCTGAGTTCAATCTCCAGCACTCATGTAAAAAACCTTTCATAGGGCCAGGGACAGCAAAGGAGAGACAGCTCAGTCCCTGAGGCTTGGCCACCGTTCAGCCTAGTCGAATAAATGAAGCCCAGCTCTCAGTGGTCCCAAACAAGGTGAATGGTTCCTGAGGAAAAAACATCTGAGGTATAGCCTGTGTAAACACATATGCTAAATTAATTAGTTAATTCATTAATTAAATATACGTAATTAAATATTTACACAGAAGTGGGTGCTGAGGATACTGCAACACATAAAGTGTCTTGGTTTTCCAGTAGTTATGAGAGTTAAAGGACAATCTTCACAGGAAGTGAATCATGCACTCAGTGTTTCTTACTCACAACTTCTGTGTATCCAATGTGAAGCTGGAAGAACACCAAGTACCCAAAAGACAATGGATCACTATACAACACAACGTTTAGACACATGTGTTTTACAGTTGTTTATGCAAATAACTGCATAATGTATTGTGTGTTTACATATTAATATATGTATATATATAGAGAGAGTATATCACATTTATACTAATTACCTTGAATTCAAGATTATGATACCCTCCCATAACAACATAGACATAGACTTACCCTTGAGGAATTGACTTTCTGAGCATCTCGCCTTTGTTTCCCCCAGGGGAGCCCTACCTCTCCTGAGAATCTAATGTTCTTATCATGAGCCTCCCTTGTCCTTTCAGTCCCCCTCTTGCTGTGGTAACCTCTA